TTTAAATCATTCAGGCCCAAAATACGTTTATTTTACGGTTATTAATTTATTAATTTGGTTATTCTCCTCCATTTGGAGATAGCTTTTCGGTGGCATGAAACGGTTTTCATGTGGTTTCCACCAGGAATTAGTAATCTTCGACAGAAAAACTTAGGGTCCAAATGGTTTTCATAAGTAAAAAAAGTAGAAAAACGTAAGTTGAAAAAATTGGAAGTGGAATAATGAGGTTGAATGAATATTTTTGTTCCACTAGTTCCTCTCATATTTTGTAGAGGAAAATTTTCCTCCAACTTTGTTCATGTTTCCAACTTTTTTGGGTGGAATAAATTGAATCACTTTTCAAAATTTTTCAACCCAAATGGTAACAATTTAGAGGAATGTTCAATTCCACCAAATTTTGTTCCACTCAAATGGTAAAAATCTAGAGAAATGTTTAATTCCACCAATTTTATTCCTTGCACGAAGAAGAACTCATGATCTAAATGAAAATAATAAACAAATTTGGTTGGCTAGATCATTATATATATCAAGAGATGAATCCATAGTTAGAAAATGAAAAAAAAAGCTACTCTGAAAAAAAATCATCGTCGTAATTGTTGTAAGAATCGACTCAAAAAAACGAAAATCAAGGCATGGACAAATTTAATCTCATCGCCTCAACTTTGTAGTCTTTCTATAAGGGATCGTACAAACCTCTATATCAGTATCGTTCTATCTGCTTCACATCATACTATAAGGAGATTAGATATGCAAGTAAGTTTTTCAGAAGCATATGATCCAACAACTAAAATGCTTAAGTTTTAATTTTATTTGAATAAAAGCACTCGTACACCAAAATACAATACTTCCAATACTTGGAGCAAGAATAAATCCAGACAAATAAACAATTTAGCTTGAGATTGTTAGATTGGTTGAGGATTGTAACGTCTGGATAATATTAATGAAATTATAAGTTTTCTGATAAAAAAAAAGCTTGAGATTGCTAGATTGGTTGAACAAATAAATCTAAAAAATAAAAGCAAAAGAAATGCAAGAAAACAACTTGATAAAAGACCAAGTTTCCTAATGGTATCTATCTTAGTTTCGAGTAATTCCAATAGGCAAGGTCTTGTTGTAAGATTGTCTATATAATCTCTAGTGAATGAATTGAGGACCTAGGCGTTACCGAACCTCGTTACACTTATTGTACGCTCATATTTTCGTTCTTACATTTTTTCCTACAAGAGAAGGATATTTGTCATAATCCGAAAGGTAATATGTAATTATGAGACAATCATAACAATATATAATTTCAGTATCTCACCAAGTCAATGTCAAACTTCACCAGCAGATTGTAGTTGTCTCGCCGCATGAATCCTCTTAGTAGACCGGTAATACACAACCAAACGATTAATTGGACTAATCTAAGTAATGTGCTTAACCCATAGCCCATAGGATATCTAAAGAGAAACAGTTAAAATATGAGTATAGAATCAAACTCATTTTCCTCCACAATTCGGTATATTTAGTGTATGTGATATGTAAGGGAAAAAACCCTTACAAACATATACGGATCAAGAGGTAATAACGAGTACGACTACACTTGCAAACGTTGCAAGCGCTACCGAGAAAGACATATGCTAGCTACAATCTTGGCTTTGATAACTTTCGTCTGCATTTCATATATACAGCATATAGAGTATTTAGTCTTTACAACAGTTAGCAAAGGATAGTTGGCTGGGTCTTCTTTGCTAAGGTGAGAAATCGAACATTGTGGTTCTGATTTTATATTTTTTTCGTACTCATGACCAAACCATTTTTACAAGCGAAAAATAGATAGACAAAGAAAAAAAGAGGAGAGAGAAAATGTGCGAGTCATCTCTTTTTGTTGCTCGTATTTTCCTATAATTTTGCTTAAAAGAGTCACAATAACCTATCAGTTTTTCCTATAATTTTGCTTTTGGACGACCATATTTAATTGACCAGGGAATATTTGTCAATGCACTTTCATTGTCAACATGTTTTACCATATGAGAAATCAACTTTGTCTCTTGCCTAACTTCTAGTGTTAACTTTGGTTTCTACGGTTCTACCTAATTGTCCAACATGTTTACTTAGTATTGTTTTTATAGAAATAAACTTAACATTACATATATAGGCTAGATGTACATGATCATATTGCATATGCATCAATACCAATCACGAGTCTTCGTAGACCTTGCCATGGAGTAAAGTCAAGGTCGTAGTGGCAAGAGTGACCACAAACACGACTTCGATTACCAATCGTTGTTTTTGGCTTTGTTGCCGTTTCCCAGAATATAAAAATCTCAAATTAGTGGCTTTTTTGAAAATAGATAACTAATGGTGACATTTTTAAAATTGACACATAAAAAATGGTAGGTTTGGGCATAAATATTCGTTACTCGGCTTGTCCTCGCTACTCGTCCCGTACTCGGCTTGAAAAAACAAATATTTATCCCGGTCAAGTAAAGTACAAGTCAACATATTACTTACAAGTTCGGGCCAAGTATCAAGCCAGTAAAAAAAAATTATTACTTGGCTCGTTACTCGGCTTGATACTCGTTTATATTACTTGACTTGATACTCATTGGTTAAGGCCTTTGACATTTGACAACATAACCAAACCAAATCATTTTCAAGTTTACATGTGTATGTGACTATATGTTATTATCATTCTTACATTTGTTATGTTGGTTTAATGGTTTTGTAGGCAAAAAGAAAAAGAAACAACCAAAAACTTATTTTTTAGATGCTTTATCA